TTAATATATGATGATCATTTTGAGATCAGCCAATCAAATTAAAGCCTGCTATACTAGTAAATAATATTACATTCAATTCTTTAGGTTACTTATAAGTAATAAGTAAAGCAGTATTTTTAAATAATAAGCATAAGATTTATTTTATAATTAATTTTAAAATAGTATTGATTAATTGATATTTTATTTAATAATAATAATAATAAATGAGTACTGTCTTAGTCAGCATTTTGTATTGTATAAGTATATTAGAGAGAATAAAGTAAAACTATCTAAAGAAAATATAAATCAAATATATTGCAAAGCTAAAAGAAAATGTCTTCTATTTATATAAAATAAAATAAATAAAGTTTTCAAAATAATAAAAGAGATAAATATAATATATGAAATAGATATAATAAAATAAATATATAATATAAATAAAATAAAATAAATAAATATAATATATTGTATAAAAAAATATATGTTATAGATAATATAGAAAATATAAAATATATAGTCAAAACTTGATATAATAAATTTAGCGTTGATACCATATGAAGTCAATTCTACTGCATTACAAAGATTGATGAATGATCAATGTGATTAACATTATTAGCATTTTTAACTTAGTTAACATTTTTATATTTTATTATTATTATTTATTATATTAGTATTATCGTCAAATTATAATTTATCTTTTATATTTATCTTATCATTATAAAATAGTTTAGCGTTAGATAGTAAATTCTTATAATTATATTTTTGTATAAATAGAATAGAAATTTATCCTTGTAAAAAGGTAGAAATAATAGTGATAACTCAATAGTTTGAGTTTAAGACTTAGAATCCAAGGTTAAGGATTGCTAAGAATACAAATCTCTATAATAAAGGAATCTCTTTCTAAACTACACATATTAAAAATCCTTTAATATGTCAATTATGTTTATCATGTTTATAAATTGTTAAAGTTATTTTCTCGTCTAAAAGTATAAACCTAAGGTAATTGTAATAGGACTTATTTCACAGTAACTTAGTAGTTTCTCGCACATTACTCCCTGTTATTAAGTTATAGTTACCTTAAGATTGACAGACTGAGCATAGGGTTAACAGCATTCAGATTAATTAAGCCTTTATTATAAAAAAATTCGTTAATATTATAATAAATTATTCAATATATTAGATGAATATTGATTTCATTATATATATATAATTTTACTATAATATAATTTTCTAGTAATATTTTCATATTATTTTGTAAATTTATTTTAATATGTAATCTATTAATCATTGTATAATAGTTTTCTAATTTATTAAAAAAAATCTAATTTATCATTTTTTTAAGAAAATTAAAAATAAATTAAAAATAAAATGAAAAGAAAATGAAATAAGATAAAAAAATGAAATTAAGAAAACTAAACGAAATGAAAAAATGAATTAAGAAAACTAAATAAAATTAAAAAATTAAATTAAAAAATGAAATAAAACTATAAAATAAAATTAAGTAAATAAAATAAAACTATAAAATAAAATTAAGTGAATAAGATGAAACAAAAATGAAATTAAATAAATAAAATAAAATAAAATGAAAAAATGAAATTTTTAAAAAATTAAAATGAAATGAAAATTTTTTTTTAATAAATATTATCTTATATATATATCATAATTTTACCTTGTATTTCAATTTGCCTTATAGATACATTATTTTATCTTATATTTTAAGTTTACCTTATAATAAGCAAATTATGATTTTCTTCTTCAAGTGTACCTTGATTTTAAAAAAGTAAATATTTTTAATATAAATCTAAAAAATCCTTTAAATGTTTTTAATTATTACCTGATCTATTTCAGAATCAAGTTCTGAAGAGATTGTATAATCTTTCTATTATATAAGTCTATATTTACTTTTTTTCACTCTATTTTGATAATTATAAAAGTTCTAAAAGATATTAATTATATTATTAAGTTATATTTATCATTATATTATTATTTATTTATTTACTTATATTATAATAATATACTAAATTCCTCTATTTTAGCTTGCATTAGCAAGTAGAATATGTCATAATATATCTTCAATTTATTCATTATGTTACACTCTACTAGAATCCTATTTTATTGCCTTTATATCTGACATAATACTTATTATTTCTTCTCCTTCTTTCCTCTAATAATAAATCTATTTTGTTATTCTTTCAAATTATTCTTGTAACTATTTTTATATTAATTTATAGGTGTAAAATTAAATGATTTAAAGTAAAAATTTAATGATTAAAGATTCAAAAAGGTAAAAATTATATGATAATAAAAATACTTCTCTTTATAAATAAATTTATCCTTTTGATTTGATAACTTATGAAATTTTATACTCATGATTGAAATAATACAATCTTGATAAAAATTCTGATTTGTATTAAAAATAAAAAGTTAAAATAATCATCTAAGTATTATATTATAATTTTGTATCATATTATTTATAAAAATTAGATCAATTCAGAAATAACTTACACAAATTTAATAAATATAATACATCAGATAATTAGAGTAGATTTACAATAATAAATTATTATCTTAGTAATAAATAAAAATTATTATAAAATTATTCATCACAATTTAATAAAAAATCAATAAGCAATTTTAACACAAGTTTGACAAAAAATTGGTCAAAAATTAATAAAAAACAATATAATTTCTTAACACATAAATTTTAATAAAATTTTAACATAATCACAAGGTATTATTTAGTCAATTTTTTGTAACTATAATGTTATTTTATTCTGTAAAAAGTAAAAAAAAACAAGCTGTAAACATTATTAAACATTATTACTTAACTTCTCAAATTACTATTTAATTATAAAAATAAAGTTATCAAGATTAATTTATTTTGAAGAAACAAACTGTTATTTTAAAGCTACTTTTTTAAGCTTTTTAATAAATCTTAACTTTTCATTTTTTATATCAAAAGTTTTTTCTTATTATTCTAAATATAATATTACTTTATCATAAGTCTTAATAACTTTCTCAAAAATAATTATTAGTGATAAAAAATCTTCCTCTTTTTCATTTTCTTGATTAGGTAAAATTGCTTTTAAAATTTCTTTGTCAAATATTATTTCTCCTTATAGTTTCAGACTTATATACTTAATAAATTTTTAGTAAAAAAAGAATTATCAAAATCTAGTTTATCGATTAATACTTGAACTTCTTCTATTTTCTTTAATCATTTAGGTTCAAGTAATATATTAATATCAGTTTTACCTCATTTTCATAATTATCATTAGATAAAATATTTATTTTCATCTAATAATTTTTAATTGTTTTATTTATAATATTATTCTATACTTGTGAAATATATTTTATGCATTTTTTAATATCAATTTCAAAGGATTCAATATTATACTCATTAAATTTATCAAAAGCTTTAATCTAATTTTGTAAATATAATTTTCAATATTATGCTTAAAATAAATTAAATTAAAATTAAGTGTAAATAACACAGGTCTAATGATTGCATATCAACAAAAAATCAGAAATCTGATTCTTTACTGATTATTTATTAATTTTGTTATAATACTATCCTGATACTTATTTCTGATTGGTCGCAGATTCTTGTAGCATTTCTAGACAAATCCAATAAACTACCAGTAAACTGTATAGTATAAATATCAAATTTAATCAGTAAAGAATCAGATTTCTAATGTATATTCAATAGCTCTCTTACATACATGTGATTTGACATTTATACTTTTAAACTATCATAAATTATTGTTAACCAATCATGCATATATAAGTCAGCGATATCTGATGATTTAACTGATTTGAGACATTATATTACAAGTATCACTCAAATATTAGATATCAATAAAACTGAAATTTACATTATTCTTTATTATATAACATATATAGTAACGTGTATATTTATTTAAATTACATATCTAATTAATATATTAAAATATATTATTGTATCTATAAATCCTAATTGGTAATACCACTATTCTTACTGATTTATTAATTATCAGTAATACCACTACCTTGATTAAAATCATCTTTGAAAATGTATGTATGTGATATTGTTCACTTCAAAGCATCCTTTGATGACTTAGATTTGTCATACTATCTACTATCTTCATACTAATAGTGACGTAAAATCTTTACGTGACTAATTTTTTTGCCAACTTTATCTGCTGTTCGAAGTAAATTGTGAACCTATTTAAATAAAAAGAAGTAATAAATCTAATAAATCAATAAGAAATAATGAAAAATATAATTCAAAATATCTAATATTTATATGACGCAATCTCTATGGTTTATCATAAACATGAAGGATATATTTATCTATATCCTTTTTATTTTTGGGCTAAATAAATTTTGTAATTTCTTCTTTGGCGAGATTATCATCAGTTTCAGAAATCTCATCACTATGGTATCCTCTATTCTTAATTAGGGATTCATAATCTTTTTTAAACTTATCGAGAGATAAAGATGATGGTTTAATTTTTTTAAGTGAATTATCATTTATATTGAATATATACAATAGTCCTTTCTGATGCCGTTCTTTTTTCTATATAAAATAAATAAATATTAGCAATGAAATTATTATCTGATAGATCATACAGAGGACATTATATTTATATCATTTTTACGAGAATTGATCCCTTTCGTCTCTTTTCTGATTTTACTTTATCTGAATTTTAATTTGTTTTCCAACTTTCACAATAGTATCGATATAATTGCTGTAAAACCCATTTTAATTCTACATCTTTGTACTGGAACCTTCTCTCTATAGCTTTATCGATCACTTTCATTGTATGTTTTAAAACATTCTCAGCGATCTTGATCCATTTTTTAGTGTGATCTAATTAAAGTGAATTATCAAGACCATTAAGGATCTGGACAACTTCGTCCTTAATTTAATTTAAAAAAGGAATAAATTAGAACTTCACAATTTTATTAACAAACAGATAATTATTTGATATGTACATAGAACAACTATATTGTTGTTTGTTCATATCTTTAAGTATAACTTAAGCATAATGATGGTAACCACCTTCAGATTCTGGGGATATTGATACATGTCTAGGAAGCATTGATTGAACTGAAGGTATTTTTTTTCCAGGTTGGTAGCTGATCGAGCTAGAAGCTTTAAGGATGCGAACCTCTTTAATAAGTGTACTAACAACTTTACTTAAAGCTTCAATATCTGAAAAAGATCAAAATTTTAAGAGTATGTAATATTATTGATTCAGTTTTATAACTGTTTTTAATATTGAATTAATAGTATTATTATTTTTATTAGCACCTGAACCCTGATAAGTTAACTCTTCTTTTCTTTGACTATATTCTTTTCTACTTTGATTACTTCGTAAGTAACTCACTTTATGAATGATAACCTCTTCGTGAATGACCTCTTTGACTACCTGGTGAATATGTATTAGGTGAATGACCTCTTCTAGGTCTTGGAGATTCTCTCAAACTACTTGATGAACATCTTCTTTGAACAGATGATACAGGTAATAAACTATATCTCAATGATCAGATTGTAGAGTATCTTGATTCATCTCTTCTTGTAGCATGAGATGAATGACAGTATCTTCATAGTGATATTGTGTGATGATTATATGAATTTAGAGATGTCAAATGTCTTTTACATTAATTTTAAGTCTTTGACTATATATATTATTCAAAACAATCAAAATTAATGATAGGTAATAATAGTAAGTTAAAGAATATTAAAAGATAATGCAAACCTTGAGTTTGTTGAAGAAAAAAATGATGCTTTTATACCTTTATTTCTTTTTCTTATAAATAAAAAAATGACAGAGAAAGAAAATTATATCGACATGCCACCTATACTAACTATATATATATTTTATTAGACTACTAATCATACTATCAATTATACTTATATACGATAAGAATATTGAAAGTAAAATTCACTATACTTTCGTTTTTATTTTGAGAAATTTGTTGTTTATATATAAAAATGTAATGGTCACATGCATTTATATGCGTTCACATATGTTATGATCCTGTGCATTTAACCACATATAGTTTAGGTTTAATTTACAATTAAATTGTTTATATATAAATGTAATATTCATGTGCATTATGATTCTATGTATTTAACCACATATAGTTTAGTTTTGATTTTTTTTTAATTTACTATTCATATCCATTTTAGTAATGATTTTTATTTGATAACAATTACATTATAATCTTTATTTGATTATTAGTTTTTATAATAAATTTATTGAATTTACAATATTTCCAAAAAACATTGAAAAACTAAAAAATCTTTTGTAAAGGATTCTAGTAATCCATCCAATTCTTCTAGTAGAACAAAGAAGGTTCTATATAATTGTAATAAATGCAAAGATTGGATGGTTGATCTATGTACAAAAAAAAGTTATGAATCAAAAAAAGATATTGGATCAAGAGGAATTATCAATGATATACCTATAGATTTAAATCAGGATTTATTAACACAAGATACATTGATAGATCTTCCAGACGTTGTTGACACATCAAGTGATAATGATCAAGAAACCAAACCAGTTTCTTATGAAGAAAATTATTCGTTTCTTCTTAAGAAATAATCAAAAAACAATTTGAAAAGAGTTAGTAATAATATCTTTAATCCTGTGGTTATTATTGAATAGAATACTTCAAATAATAATAATGATAATAAAAGTGACAGTAGCGAAGTTAATAGTGAAGAATGTCAGGATGATAATGATATCAAAGAAATATCATCCAGCAGATTTGATGCGCCAGAAAATGTATACAGTAATGACAATGCTCTAGAAGTGCCTATTATCGATTATAGCAAAGACTCTAATTAGATTGTATTATAGATTTTGTTATACCAAGAAAGGTACTGACTTTCCAATATGATTACTAATTCTTTGGTAACATTTATTAGATATCTTTTGATTCTATTAGATACAAATAAATATACATCTTTTCCTACATTATTATATATAATACGTAAAGAACTTGGTATTTGTGCTCATATTATCAAATATGTCATGTGTAAAAAATGCTGCAAATTGTATAATGTAGTGAAGTATTAACTGATAAATCTAGTCAAATTCCAACCACAAGCCAATGTATCTATGTAGATTTTTTGAATCATCCAATGGCAAATCAAAGAGAAAAATGTGATTCCAATCTTACCAAGAAAGTTTCTATCACAGGTGGAATAATATATAGACCTTCTATGGTATTTCTAACAGTTAGTTTAAAACATCAATTACAATTAATGTACAATTAGAAGGGATTTGAAGAATTATGCAAGAAATGGGCCAATCGATATAATGATTCCCAATATCTAAATGATATCTATGATAGAAGAATTTAGAAGGACTTCTAAAATCCAAACCAAGATTTACTATTCTTCCAGAAAGAAGTATCAGATTGTCATTTGGGTATTATGTTGAACCTTGATTAGTTTTAACCGTTTGATAATACTAATTACAGTATTAGAGTCATATAAAGTGTAATCTGTAATCTCCCTCAAAATGAAAGATTTAAGCTATCAAATATTTTAATAATAGCTTTGATTTCTGGTCCAAATGAGCTGAGTCTGTATCATTTAAACCATTACTTAGCTCTAATAATTGATCAATTAATTGAATTATGGAATGAGATAGAACTATCAGCAACATATGAAAACTCTAATAGTAAGACCATTTGAGTCACAGTAATATGCTATTCTTTTGATATTCCTGCTACAAGAAAATTATGTGGTTATATATCTGCATGTGTGGCTTACTATAGATGTTTAAAAAAAGCTTGATATGATGATCGTAATTAATCCAATTTTGAAGGATTTTCTAATATTAATGATTGGTTTATTAAAGGGATATTAGTCAGATTCGAAAAAATGCATACAGATGGTTGAATTGCAATACAAAAAATACTAGAAAAATCTATGTTTGCAAAACTTTAGTACGTTAGTCTGAAGTATACTGCCTTCAGTATTTTGATTCTGTATGATTTCTTGTAATAGATCCTATGTATTGTTTGTTCTTAGGTATCACTAAATGGATAGTGATGCAATTATGGATCGAAGAATAGTGATTAACATTAAAGGATCTATATAATGCAGAATAGGGTAAAGCAGATAAAGATTCTAGCTGATATCGGTAGAATTCCATATAAAATTTTAACTGAAGAAGGGTTTTCAGGTTTTACTGCAGACCAGTAGAAGACTTTTATCTTGGTTTACGCTACTTTTATTATATAGGATTTACTTCAAAAAACAGATAGAATAATTCTTGCAAATTTTATTTGTGTGTGTAACATTCTTGTATGTAGAATGATATCTAAAAATGGATTAAATGAAGCTCACTAGCGTCTTTTAACAATGGTAAAGCTTATCAAAGAGAATTATGGACCAGAAAAAATTATGCTGAATTTATATTTATGCTTATATATTTGTCAATACAGTAGCGGTCATAAGTATCTGACCGTCCGAGATTGTCCAAAATTATTATATAACTACCCCTTAAATTTTTCAGAAATATAATATAACACAATATATAATCACCTGTAAATTT